GGTAATAAGGGAATATCTGATCCAACGGTCACTTAAAAAGAAAACAATGTGTTTATTTTACAATAACGAATTATTTTTACTATTATAAAAGTGGTCAATACATCAATTATCATGGAGTGATATAGAAATCGCTCTCTTAAAATAGTGCTCAATACACCAATATTGAAGAGCGATATAGAAATATCACTGTTAAAATAGTGCTCAATACATAAAATTGTAGAGCGATATAGAAATACCACTGTTAAAATAGTGCTCAATATACCAATATTGAAGAGCGATATAGAAATATCACTGTTAAAATAGTGCTCAATACACCAATATTGAAGAGCGATATAGAAATACCACTGTTAAAATAGTGCTCAATACATAAAATTGTAGAGCGATATAGAAATACCACTGTTAAAATAGTGCTCAATACACCAATATTGAAGAGCGATATAGAAATACCACTGTTAAAATAGTTCTCAATACATCAATTGTAGAGTGATATATAAATACCACTGTTAAAATAGTGCTCGATACATCAATTGTAGAGCGATATAGAAATACCACTGTTAAAATAGTGCTCAATACATAAAATAGTAGAGCGATAGAGAAATAACACTGTTAAAATAGTGTTCAATACATCAATTGTAGAGCGATATAGAAATACCACTGTTAAAATAGTGCTCAATATACCAATATTGAAGAGCGATATAGAAATATCACTGTTAAAATAGTGCTCAATACACCAATATTGAAGAGCGATGTAGAAATACCACTGTTAAAATAGTGCTCAATACATAAAATTGTAGAGCGATATAGAAATACCACTGTTAAAATAGTGCTCAATACACCAATATTGAAGAGCGATATAGAAATACCACTGTTAAAATAGTTCTCAATACATCAATTGTAGAGTGATATATAAATACCACTGTTAAAATAGTGCTCGATACATCAATTGTAGAGCGATATAGAAATACCACTGTTAAAATAGTGCTCAATACATCAATTGTAGAGCGATATAGAAATACCACTGTTAAAATAGTGCTCAATACATAAAATTGTAGAGCGATAGAGAAATAACACTGTTAAAAAGGTGCTCAATACATCAATAGTAGAGCATTAAAGAATTATCAAAACAGAACGTGGTAATATGAATTTTTTTTAATTTCAATCAAATATACTTAATACATGTCTGTAATAAATCAAAGTTTAAATTAATCAGTGAGACACAATTTAGAGTATTATTGACTGGATATCAGATTCCCAGTTTTGACCAAATCTAAAGAAATATATCTCTGACACAAATTCTCTATACGTGGCATAATAATCTTTCACTAGCATCAAATTTCTCGGTTTATTATGTTCTGATATCTGAACACTACTGGGGTTACTAATAAATTACCAATAGAGAAATTAACCCTTATTTTAGTACTAACTATACATGTCCTGTCACATCCAGACTCTAGGTTGACAGGGTTAGGGTTAAAAAGCGAGTGAAATAACCCCATTTAAATCAACCATAAAAACATAAAAATTGTTAGAATTAAATCCGAGCTGTCATACGGAGAATGATTCAAATTATCCAAAACAATAGCCTCATATTCTTATTTCACGTTCAACTGGGTTTTCTTTTATAATTCCCTTAAACCTGGTCACATATATATCAATTATTGAGCTCAATATTTGATGACGTTTTACACATAAATTGCAGGGTAGGCCAAGATGTATGTTGACCTTAATCCGCGTGCTCCATAATTACACGTGCCTGTGTCAATATGACGTCGCGCACGTGCACAATATTCCCGAATGAACATGACCAATAAAATCAGGTTTGGTAGATACGATATGGTATTAAGCGTGGAAATTTCTCCGCTTCGTTAGATAGTGTGGGAAAATGGCGGGCTGTAGACGTCATCAATCTAGCAGACGATAAAAGAAATTATAGATATAGAAATAAGAGAATCAGTTAAATTATTTTAAATTATAGACAGTGGAAATTTATTCTCTATTTTAACCCCCAGGCTCTGTTTTCAAATGAAATATGAATTTTAATCCTGCCATGCATTGATTGGTTAATCAACAGGAATAATGAAATCAATATTTTTAACGTTTTTGATGTGATTTTTGTTTATTTTGAGATTATACCCATAGTATATAATTATTCCAAAACGTTGAAAATTTTCAATTAACACATCTCAAGCTTGGTATATGTTAAGATAGCCTACCCACCCTTGCCTTATTTGTACAATTCAAAATTAAAATTTAACATTGGGTTATTTTTTACTTTACCGGACCACTTAAAACCAGATTCTTCATTATATCATGTTCTGTGGAAGTTTTACCCAATACCGTCCGATATGGTCATAATCATGCTTACCATTCAAAACACTGTTAGTGAGTGGTTAGGATTCCTCACGTTGGGTGAAGACATTTTTTCTATCGAGCATTATATTGGTTCAATATTAGATGAATACGAGATGCATAAAAATGCTTCAGATCATGAATTGCAATAAGATTCACCCATATAGATACGAAACATCAAGTTCTGCGAGCCGTATTAATAATATGAAATTTTCATTTATACATTTTTCAATACCATTAAATCCGCAAAATTTCTCGTGCGAATTGTAGCCAAACTGTTCAAGGTTAAATTGGACACAATAGATGGCAAAGTAGTTTTTAAGCCAATTACCCTAAGAGTCCTTGACAATCCCAGTGGTCATTGATGACCTTAACAAGGTCAGATCAGGGCGTGCACAATAGAAGACAAGAGCGTTCACAATAGAATACTAGAGCGTTCACAATAAAACCGGTTGAATTTATGTTGTGACGTGTGCGGAAATACGTTATGACATTGCTGTAAGTGTTTTCGAGGATGTTATTTTACATATATCACCATGACAGATTTCATAATGAGCTTTTCTACACTCCAACTAACAGAATCTCTTCACCATTATACTCAAAAAAACACACTTATCGTGTACAATATTTTTTAGAGTAGGATTATTGTCATCTCCACTATGTCAAGCTTTAAGAACTTCGTCTTATACTTTAACTGCAATAGCCACCTTTCATGTTTCACGGAAATTGGAAATGCAGCGAGTTTGTTGGATTGTACCTTAGCGAATACAGCAAATCAGAAAGTCTGTAAGCCATACTATTTACAATCTGTCGAATTAATATCTACCTCTTTTACTGAAATGATAAATACGTATAATTTTTTCTATCATTTTTATTCGATAGTAATACACTGACAAAAAGTAACGAAAACTGGGGTATATACCAGTCATAGCATAGGCTTATGAATCAAAAATTATTTGGAAGGGCCGAGGATATACCTCCTATATTTTCAAATAATGCACACACAAAGATTTTGCTTCGATAACGTATTAAAATTTTTCTGACAACGGTACGCTGCCAACTTGGTTTCAATCAGGGGGCGTTGCGTTTTCCCCTCCAACTACATCACAAGTCTTTTAGAATGGTCGAGGATATATCTCCGAATATTTTCAATCTATGTACGCCTAAATCTTTTTTCTGCCAAAACATAATTTATATTTTGGGCTACAGAACGCTGCCGACTTGGTTTTTTCATTTAGAAGATGCTTGGTTTTTTCCTCCGTATTCATTGACAGGCAAAGTTCGAAGGTATCATCTCGATACATGCATAACGTATGACAGAACCAAAAGCTATTTGGAATGGTTGGTGATACATGCTGTCCTAAAACATAATTCCTTTTGAGGGCTACATTAAGCTGCCAACTTGGTCTTTTCATTCTGACGTGTTAAATTCGAAGGTATTATCTCGATCCATCCGAAATGTTTCGTTTTGCCGGTACCTAAGAACGGCTGTGGCTGCAAGCCTTTTTGTTATTGAAGTAAAAAATAAAGAAACAATAATGAAGTTTATTTAACAATTATTTACATAAATAACCAATAAAATAATTTTTCGGAATGTTTTTAAGGCACAGTCGTATCATTTATCAGTCTTTAAATATTTTTACATTCTTTTTCTCAAATGTCATCATGTAATACATTCGAATCGGATAAAAAAAAATATTGATGATAATAACATAATAATGATGATAATAATAATAATGATAAAAAGAAATAATAATAATAATTGAAATAACATACGACACAAATATTTTTGTTCACAAAGGAAGTAAAAGTATAAGAACAGAAAAATAACACGGGATAGTGGAAGGAGAATAAGGCAGTAACAAGGAAAGGAAACAGAATTCTACAAAGAAAAAAAAACCAAAAATCATTTATATTTTTCTTGAAAATTATTGGAAAATATTCTTTAAAAGAATGAAAATACAAAAAAAAATTCATATCGCGGCATTTTTTTGATGTAGCATGTAAAACACTAAAATATATTGGAATGTTCCGAAAAAGATTATGTTACTCGCAGGAATGGTAAAAGATATGGGAAAAAAATAAAAATTACACAAATATTTTTCAATATCTTATAACAAACGAATAAATCAAAAGTCTAGAAATATCATGGAATGAAGCATTTTCCAAATCTATTATTCACTTTGTTATTTTAAAGCCGTAATAGAGAATAACAAAGTTTTAAAATACTACATAAAGTTAATTTTGTGACCAGTTACTGGACTGTATAAATCTGGAATGTGTTTTACTGTTCACCATCTACAAGCAGTGACTTTGACCTCTGACCTTAATGCTGTAGTTTCATCATCAGGATTCCGACCCGATCAGTTCTATAATGCACGTTCATTAACAAAAGGTCAATTAAAATATGACCCTTGGTTTAAATTAAATCTAAAGTTTGTTAAAGTTAATGTTTATATTGGAGAATCAGGATGACCGACATCCACGTGGATTGTACAGTCTTCATGTTGGTCACGTGAGCACTCATGTCCATCATCATCAGTGTCATCACTGACGTCATCACCTCGTTCTGAACCAGTGTCGTCTTTCTTTTTGTGAGAACGCGAATTGCACGTGCGAAGACAGTGGCAGTCTCGCGGTTCCGTTCCACCATCTTTTTTATATTTTACTCTACGATTCTGAAACCAGATTTTCACTTGTTTTTCGGATAGGTTCAGATATGTGGCGATTTCGATTCTTCTAAGTCTCGATAGATACATACTGGAGTTGAATTCACGTTCTAATTCTAACAACTGCGTACTGGTGAAGGCGGTTCGAATTCTCTTACTGCTCGGTAGGTCATCGGACGGACCGTTCACTTCTGAAAAATAGAATAGAAAATTATTATTTAACAGCAACAGTCTGTAAAATCCTATTTCTTTTTTTATATTTTTTTATTTCAAACATCAAATAACTTGATGTAACACACCTTATGATTATAAACATTAAAATTAAGCTTTTACAATATTCCTGTAAGTTATGGAATGAATTCAAACTACCGAACCTAGTATCCCTTGAAATATAGGGACATGGGCAATACAATCGACCAAGGATCCAGAAATGGGTAACAGAGAGGAAAAGGTTGAAAACCTCTGTTCTAGAGTTGCATTAAGGCAGTAGATTAAAGTTACGATGCCGCTAAGATTATGTAGATTTTAAGCTACTTACTAGCCCACCCCTGCCGAACAGCTATAAAATTTGTCCCATTGAAATTTCATTAGTCTGATATAGTCTTTAATGTGCCTTGGTGTTCATTTTGTACTTAAAAAATAAAAATAAATCTGACTTACCATTAGATGTTGAATGTGGTCTTTTGGCACTGACGTGTTCATAGGAAGCTACAGGACTGGACGGTTGTATGGCGTGATGCTGGGGATAGGTTGATGCCACCAGATCAAAATGATGAGGGTACGGATGAGAATACGGCGAGGTCAATCCCCCGAGTAGTGTTTTAGGTATGGAAGCTAAGGCTGAAGATGTCTTCATATTGGTCGCCGAGGTGGATGGTGGTAGACCGTGTTGGTTAGGATGGACACACATAGGACAGCACAGACCTAACATTTCTGCCGGGTGCCTCGGGAAGCAGGGCAACCCATGGCTGCTTGGTAGATGTTGTAGGTGTCTTGACAGAATGGAATCTGTTGAAGTTGATGACACGGGGCTGGAAACACTGGTCCTGGCTGGCTTCTGAACGATTAACGAATCCACTAAAAACGATCTCGACATTTTTAATATATAATTTTAAAAAATATACTGTTTTAGATATTCAAAACTATAAAAAATATGTCCATTGAATCCAAAAATTAATTAATCTGATATTAGTTAATTAATTGTCACTAATGAATTTCCTCAGCACATTTTAAAATATTTACGACTGTCACCTTGTTCGGGGAGTCAGAATTAAACTTCTTCTAATTGACGTCTGGTTATTTTATACCAATTCTCTTATTGTTCCATTCTTCACGTGGTCCGGGGAATAATTAGGGTCCAATAATACGCTACTTGATATTCATGACTTCTCGCGCATGATTCGGCCCCTATTATTCGTCCCCTTTCTATTGGATATTAACAATCACTCATCAGTTTTCAAATCGATTGTTATTACTATGACTTTTCCACTAGCCAGCCTCGTATTGGTTGATCATGATGTCAATTAACGTGACGTGCTTCTTCTAACGTGTGGCACGTGCGTGCACGAGCCAATGAATTCACGCGCAGAAGCTAAGGGAAGTAGAATGATGCTGATGAAAGTAGGTGGGTTGTTTGATATTGACACAAAAACATTATCAGATTTACATTTATTTAAAGTTTTATTTTAATTTTTATTTTAATCATGTAGAAACGGTAGAAGACATTCATCAACTGCCCTCAATACCTCGGCCATTTTTATATTTCAAAAATTAGCCTAGATTTATTATTTTGTTTATTTTCTTTGATAGATTTTACCTCCACATGGCATCCGATAAATTCCAGTCAAATTCCGGATCTTGATCTTAGCTCAAGAATGGGTCGCCACCCTGAAATTTGAATTATTTGTGGTTGAGGAGCGGTGGAGTTTTAACATTGAACATAACAAGAATGCAGAATAAAACCAAAGTTGCTAATATATCTTATATATATTTTGGACACGATGCTCAGTTTTGAGTTCAGAATGATACAAAGAGGCTTTTTCTCAAATCAATATGTAAAGAGAAGTTTTTCAGAACTGTTTTATGAAGCAGAGCATAAAGAATGGCAAATGTATGAAAGGCAATTTCCACATCTTCTAGAGCAGGGGTTTTTCAACCTGGGGGTAATTTAGGAATTTTTAGGGGTAATGAGGCACTTTGTAGTCTAGCCTAATAAAATTTTTTGGTCACACTATATTCTACGACATGAAAAAAGATTGCAGGGAAAATCTGAGAGAAAATTACTAATTTAGTAAGGATTTATATATGGCAATCGGCAATACAATCGATCAAGGATCCAGAAAAGAGATAATAGAGAGGAAAAGGTTGTTCTAGATTTGCATTAAGGTGTGTTTTCTTAAGTTCAAACTTATGGTGCCGTTTACATTAAAGCTAAGATTATATAGATTTCTGTATCGCTCTTTAATTGTTGTATTGAACACTATTTTAACGGTGAAAATATTTTATTAATATTGTATTAAAGCTAAGATTATGTAGATTTTAAGTACAAAAATAATTTAGATTCTAAAATATGGAAATAATGTCTAACTGGATAAATATTTCATTTAAATATGTTCCATGAAACTTTCCTCAATACTTTCTCTTTTGAGTCAGATGAAACATTCTGCTTATGCACAAATAGACATTTCTGACACGATTTTCATTCTAATTCAAGAAATGACACTAAAATTAAAATATTCCCCTAACAAAATGACATGACAGTTAAGAAATTGGTGTTTTTTATGTTTTTAATTTGAAAAATTTTATTCTAATTTTGATTCAAATTACATCCGGCCCTTCAACCATCTTTTTGGACCCTCGTCAAATAGTCGATAATTGTCACTCGGGGGCAGAGCACACGGGAAAATAAGAAAAACTTGTGTATTTTAAGTACCCTAATTCATTGAATTGCTTTCAACTCAAGTGACAAGATTATAGGTTAGTGACTGCCCCATCAGGGAGCCCAACTCGGATTTTGACTAATGTTTTGTTTCTGATTGTCTTCCACTGTTTAAAAATAAAACTTACAAATATAAACCACAGTGCACTGTTATTATTTATTTACTCCCTTTCCTTTCGAACATACATTGTTATTATATATCTGACAATAAATAAACATATGCACGTTCTATAGCACGTCCGTGTACACTTTAAACTGAGTGCAGTAACTCTATAGGAGGCCAAGTAATAACATATCATTACAGGTGTACAGTAAATTAACAAGACAAAACACAATTTTCATTCTGAAAGTGTTGATTATTCACTGACCACCCTGGTGTCTGAAGAAAAAACAAGGCCATGAATTGGATTTTTGAAAGCTATTTATTTGTCTAGAATTGTTGGTAATTTAACATTTAAAATAAACAAACCGATTCACAAAAGGACCAGAAAATATCAACGTGTAGTTGCTTTTTCTCGATTATTTAAAACTGAAGGTTTAATGTTTTGTGTATTAAAATCATAATAACTTAAATACGATGACACGTTCGCCATTCGTTGACCAATCTCACCATAATGTCAGAAACGGGATTTCTGCTGGCTAAGTTGATCAGTAATAGGATTCACAGCTCCCCTTCGAAATTTGAGCTTCAAATTCTTGTGAGTCCAAAATTATCCGCGTTTGAAAGTTAAAGACACAGCCATATATAGAAAAGAAATCCATAGAAATGTGCAAAGAAATTCCCAGTTTCGTACACTTATAGTACTTCTGAATTCAAATATTCAAATCAACCCCGAAAATGCATCCATGGCCTTTAAAGTTCAATTTTTCTTGTAAGTCAGCAGAAAAACTTTCCCTCCAAAATTAAATAACGCCACTAACGTCTGAATAAAAAAATAACAAAATCGAAATTGTGAGTTAATTTTCTATCTAATGGCGATTCTTAACCAAATGATCTCGTGCTGCCAACAAAATCACCTTGGGGGAATTAGGGAAATTTGAAATAGAAATATGCTTCTTAAAGAAAGTAAAAACAGCACCTGGTAAAAATAATAAGCGGTACCTACTGCCCTGTAATTAAATCTATTTTATTCATGTACCTTATATTTAATATAAGGTCGTTATATATGAAATAAAAAGTGGGCGGTACAGTATGAATAACTATAAAGATATTTTTTTTAACTAAACGTTTCGAAGTCATACCCCCTGTGGTAGATTTATTTCTTTATCAATGAGATATGTATTTAAGGATAAGAGTCGATAATTTGAGTAAAGAGGGGATTTGAAAAGAACATGATATCCTCCCGAGTTGGCAGAAAACATTTGACCAATCGACCAATCGCACCTTAGTCTCAGGAACGAAATTTTTTTTTTAAAATATGAAACGGACTGCGCATTGTATTGCTATTAAAGGTTTGAATAGTTTCTTCTGATAGTAAGAAGCAATATAAAAAAAGCTGTCTCGTCTTCCATACATTTTCAAATAGTAATGGATGTGAAACGCGTGTGCTTTACATGTCAATGTCATGACCTTATTTGGATAGATCTGACTAGTTCATCAATCAAATCAATAATTGGCTTTATCCAATCATTTGATCTTCACTTATTTTTCTGCAGAACTGTCTTCTAGGTCACGTGTTTACTGCAGGCGTCACTTAATCGTTCGATCATTTCCGATGAGAAAAACAAAACAAGTTGTAATTTATAGAGTTCTAAAAGTTAATGAGGGGTCAAACTACACCCCCTCTTGTTGACCCGGAACTATTTCATCATGTGACCTGTGTCATGGCGACCATTGTGTCATCAATACAGACGACACTTTCTATCGCCATTGGAAACTAAGACGTCCATCTTTCCATGTCCAAGGGTTAATTATTTTCTATTTTTCCTGTCAAATGTTTGCTATTTTATGAGAAATATAATTATCACTTTCCAATCATTGGTGATTAATTACTTTCTGAACTTTTTATCATCTCCATTTCCAAAATTAAAACGTTTTATCTCGTCGTGATGCCCATACATGAAACCTGTTATATATGATAGAAATATAGCAAAAGAAGAATACATTTTTAGTAGGTCCATCAACGTGAGTGATGCCTTAAATTGTAAATAAATAAAATCAGCGAATCATCGCTTGGATTTACATTTTAAGTCTTTTCAAATGACGAGTATTTTTTTT